TCTAGCATCGTTCCATGCTATACTACTTTTACATCAATCTAGTCATATGTTTACAATAACTCGCATTTGTTTCATGACAATAGCTACCATTCCATCTCTCCTTTATTTTTGTTGTCTTGTACAACCTCTTTACTACAGTTACTCTCCATTTCCAATTCTGATTAAACACCTGCTCTGGTCAAACATGACTATGAGAAAGGGTAAATACAATGGATCTACTCGCACGGTGCTGTTTAACAAAATCGATCATGTAAACCTTGAACCATGATGCCTCCAGTCAAACCGTTCGTGGGAACACCGTCAACATAACATTCGAAACACCAATATCCTATATTCGCTATGAAATTCCCTCCAATGCAAACGTTTTACCACTTACGTAAACTTTCCTCTCTCAATGATTTTCACGTTATCACCGATGTAACTGTGTTGAAGGGTGCCTCTCCGACAAACAGCGCGAGGTTATTCGTCGAAAGGAGTTCGAACATACAGTCCGGAAGTTCAGCTAAAAGCAAACCTTCGCATAGTAGATCTCTTAAAACTAGCCATAAAAAATAAACGGCTCTTACAAAATGTGTGATCGAGGAATTCTGGAGAACTACTACAATGAAGTGAAATGTTACTGGTGCAGATCTGAATTACTCGATAATTACTGCGGTAAGCAGTGATGCAAGTGGAGCAAGCTGATATTCCAGATGTACTACGTCCAAGTCACAGACACCTAATTTCCATGTTGCTTTGGTCTTCAGGTTAATTTTTCCTCAACATGGGAATAAGAGCACGAAAAAAAATTCCAGCAATTCTTAGTGCTAACTGAAACGTAATCAGTACAACCGAGAATTCAAAGGAGACAATATAAAGGCTCCCGTTCAGGACTCGTAAACACTCTCAGTCAAATAAGATGTGGTAAACTTTCGCGCTTAAAAAGCACTCAATACAAAAACTTCAATTATCGCTGTAAGACTATGGATAGTAATTAACACGAGCGACCTTCCATTAACCTCAACATTGTTCAAATAGTTCTCGACATTCTTGTTGAGCAAATCCGACGTTTTACTTTATTCTTTAATCCGCTAAAGCTGACGTTTCGACATTATTGCCTTCTTCAGCGTCGTTTCTACGTGCCTTCCACTGAGGAAGAAAAACCGATCAAAGTCGCATATACAATGATTAGGATTATATGGGACTCTTAATCAAAATAAGTCCATAATTCTACATAGAGGAGATATATAGCGCAGGGCTAGTGCCTTTTAGCATGAGCATAGTACTGGCATGACACCTTACAGGACACTAAATCCACCGCCTCTCTGGTGTCTACAACTTGCCACCAGACGGAAAACCAAGCCTACATCTCGTTAGGCCCGCATAAATCATTGAACGTTTTAAACCGCCTCCACAAATGCGTAGCAATGTCATGTATTATTAAATACAGAAAGGTAGTACTGTCCCTTAAAATGAGCTACAGAGAAGAAAAGCATCTAAATCTAAGCTCATCGCCCTACCTGCTACTAAATTCGTCTGGGATCAGCTAGTTACTAACAATCCACAAACACAGACGTCTGCCTGTGATGAAGATCTTGGAACGCCCTAGCACGTCTGCCCCAGAACTCGGTAGAGAACTGTAGCCACGGGTACTTGACGACATGCACGAATAGAAGTAGAAATGCTCAAGTAGAAGCCGAACTGATGCACAAATACGAATCGTGGAATATGGGTGTAAGCTGGGATTCACCCACGTGATGAAAGGTCGTACTAGAAGAAAATTCTAATGAAATAAGAAACCCCCTCCACACATTCGCCATAGTCACGAGAAATACCACCGTATCACTGCCTACCGCCACTACAGAAGATATGAACTCCACTAGCCTTGCAAATGCGAACAAACGTACTCAACATAGCGATTTTTCACAACTCGAATAAAAACCAGTAGATTAACGTCTATGACGATAGCTGAACCATTTGGAGAGTTAACTCTTTCTAGAGCTACATATTACCACAAATTCTCCTTTAGCAAATAAAGCTCACAAAAGCACTGGCTATTTTGCTATTATATTTATTATGCCGAATCTAGTTGTCAAACATCTAATGATTACAACTTCTAGAAGTCCAAAAATAAAACATTACTTCAACATCACTGCTCCGGTCCGCCATCAAAGACTTGGGTCTATCCACACAATTTAATAATGTAATACTTTTTTAACTGCCTATTCGTTTTTCATGGCAGGGTACGATGCGAAATATAATCACAACAATGCTGAGATATTTGCAATGCTCCGGAAACGGTAATTAATAGCGTGTTCGATCCTAACCGCAGAAACCTGCGGCCCTGAGTCTTGCAACCATCTCAGCATCATTGTGAGTCTATCAATATAATGTACCACAGTTTACCAAACTAATTTGAACGTGTTACCACAGAAACTAAAGCTGTAACTATATGGAACTACATAGATCGATATACCACATAGTAATGATAATTGAACAACCAAATAAAACACACCTTTCTCCATCATATCCCCCATCTTGAGTGTATATTCCGTATAGAAAACTGGCCTATAGAAATTTAACACAGACCTTTTTTAGCAATGAAATCAGCATCCACAATATGCATGCCGTGACTCCGAAAAATCTCAGACACAGAGCTTTTGCCTGTCGCGATACCACCAGTCAACCCAACAATTACCATCCTCTACAAATTACTTACCCTTTTTCGATCACCTCGATATAAAACGCTTACGTTAATATCTACATAGACAGAATGGCTTTGTACCGAGCAAAAATTACGAGCAAGATATTTGTCATATTCATTTTCGTCGCAACAATTTCCAGAACATCGCGTTGTAGTGAGGAAGTCGTTTGAGGAAACATTCATCAAGTACATTAGCATTTCTCTGTTCTTCTTTCGTTTCACCTCCATTAACTCTACATATACATACAGACAGGAGGCGCACATAAATGGTGAACCAGACACTAAATGGCTCACCCGCAAAAGATACAAAAAATGAACATACGGAATATACGGATTTCTATATCTTGTATGATACAAATTTGGAACAATGATCAAGAAATCACACTATGTATTTTAGGTATGAACTTGAAATTTAGACGCGAAGGCCTCTCGAAATGCCATACAAAGAGGAGGGAGTGTCAGAGTATCAAGCAAAAGACCCACGGACAGTTCTTCCACAGGGCTTAAGGTATACATAGTGAAACGTATATAATATCAAAGTAAAAATCATAATATGTAACTAGTAAAGAGGTAAGTACGAGATGCTTCATGACAAGGCGAAAGCGAGTTACGCAGAGATTCGGTTGAAGCATCCATCCTCGTGAGTAATATGTATACGAAAATGACAGACCGATCAACTGAAGAAATGACTACTGGAGAAATAGGTCACTTCCCAACGCCACCTGTCCCTTGTACAGAATTTGATCCACTGATAGGTGGCATCATAAAACGAAGAAGATTCGCCGTCGAGTTACCAAGGTATTGCTGTTGACTATGCTGTGCTTGCGACAACAACAACGACGTTATCAGCGGATCCTGGAAACAAGTAATTCTCTCTAAAACGCAAATCACAGTGCTTTCGCTAGTTTGCACAGTGGTAAAATAAGAAATTATTATGAACAGACTACTGGTAACTACTTTTTGAATAGTACCTTCGAATTCACAACACCCAAAATGAACCCGACAAAGAAAATAAACAGGCCATAAAAATAAAAAGAATACTGAAAACAAACATATAAAAAAAATTCATTATAAACGGTGGCATCGAGTTATACTATTTATATAGATAATCCTCATAACCGGTAGGAGTCCAAAGATTTTGCACGATCCTTTTGTAGAATTGCAACCGTCATTCCTAGAGAGGGCTGAGATGGCGACGGCCTTACTTTCAAACTGATCTAGCTTCGTTTCTTAGTGACACGTTACATGGCGTTGAGCATGGTTTTCCTTGAAATTTCAACCAGTCATCGAGTTCAGCAGAAATTCGTTGTCATTATAGATCGAAGGTAAGGATCACTTCTTTGGAACTGGAGAACTTTCAACGGAACTGCGATTCATGTAGATAGCACAATAACCAACTGAGGACGCTTTAAGCTTATGAAGTTCCCTACATGCTTAAGTTAACATATAAATGGTTCTAATAACGAATAACTGGACTCTAATTTTCCACTCGGCCAATATGCTAGTAGTTCCATAAGATTTTTTACCACATTGTATAATTAACCTTGCCAGGATTTTATCAAATGATTAGCATGAGATTGCAGCTGTTACGCTTTCCATTTTGCAACTAGGTTTCACCTAGGACGATAGCCTTCCCGAGCACCTTTTCAGAATTGGCTGGCTTGCGGGCCGGAATATCCAACTGCTTTTTAACTTGGGTGATTCTGCCGAGAGATAGACTTTCTTACTAGCGTAAACCGTTGGAGTTATCTTTTAGTGAAACTTTAAATCGCATCTCATCAAAATGAAAGAAAAACTGTCCATGTGTGGTGATTCTTCAAAACCACTTGTCCGCAAGCCACGAATACGATAAAGTGCTTTAAAAAGACTTCAGCAGGATTTTCTCAGCAGCTGTCGTACTTTTCAGATCTTGGCAGTTCCGATTTTGAGATGCTGCACTCATTTTCGATTGCGTTTGCTTCAAAATATATCGTTACCGGCTTTTTTTTAACCTCCACTAACTTCTTGAATGTTGAAATACATGAGTAATTAAAAATAACGAACATCGCACAATTAAATGTTGCAAACCGTCACATAAATAAATGATAAGCAGCTTGTACTCTTAAAAAAAACAGCATATGTACGGACTAACACCTAACATAAGGAGAAAAGTCTATTGTAAAACTCGCACACCTAGTGTGAAGGTAAAAACTATGTTGCAAAGCGCAGCAAGTAAAAAATTTCCGTAAAAACGACGTTGCAAACGTACGAGTTAGACCTGCTGTGAAACCACTTCTTACCTTCAACATGGCTTTGTTTTTCAGACTGACTGCCTTTTCTATTTCTTAAGCTTTCGATTGAACATACTCACCATTGCGTTCCCTGTGCTTAGCATCTGATTAGTGCTTCTTCCTAAAAAGCCGCTGTTTATTAGCGGATTCAAGGCTGCCAGTCGTTCAGGGCTGATGTTAGCGGCTAACTCTGCAGACACTGCCGGAGCCGTGGAAGTCGTAGTCATCACTACTGGTTGTGTTGTCGATGCAGTAGCCAGCGTTGGTGCTGTCACCGATATAGATGGTGTAGAACACACACTGACCGTGGTTCTAAAACAAATGGCACGATAACTTTAAAACCACCATACATACAGAGCATTTTTAGTAATTTGCTATGTCGCAATTACTGTCTACACTGTCGTTTTAACCAATTAAAATTTCCATTACTACTCTGAGTTTTATGGGAAACATGCCCTGAAGCAGTTAAAGTTATCACAAAGAGTCTTCAGAAATTTCCTAAATGCTTTTAACACAATCGACACATATATCAAAAATGCGCTAAAATAATTTAGTTCCTCAAATCTAAACAACAAAGAAAAAGTCACCAGAGCAACGCTACCTTACGATTCCTATTCTTCTAATACCTTTTGTACAACCAAAAATGACTAGAGCGGAGAAAATAAATCTTTAAAGGTCTTCTTTAAAAGTCAACTCCGGTTTGAAACTAACGAAATGTTCCTTTGCAAAGTGACTCTTGATAAGAGTTAACAACACTGCACGAGTTAACATGAAATCTCAGGTGACCACCATTGAAGCCATTTGCCTTAGCAAACTATTCCAGTAAATATTTGAACTCATGTTTTTGTACACTAGCCAAATTATGTGTTTTACAGCTAAAAACACGCCACTTTAAATTACAAAATTTGCAACTTGCCTGCTCTGCACATGCGGCACGAATCCGGCACTGTTAGATTGTGTGGTGCTCAAGGAAGAAGTTGATGGTACATGCGATGCCCGACTAGGAGGCCTCGCAGGAGGGCGGGGTGTACCACTGGCTAACGATCTTAATTGCGTTAACGAATCTTCTACTCCAGTCGGCGGCACAGATACAGTACCTGATGCGGAGGTCGTTGCCGTTACTATAGGAGAATGATGTGGGCTGACAAGATTTGTGGGAGGCAAAGAAGCCTGGGCTTGGATGTTAAGTGAAGGGGCTGGTTGCTGCTGGTGTTGCAACTGTTGCTGTTGAAGTGGAGGTCCACCAAGTGGCACGGATAATCTTGACGTGAGCGCAAGTAGATGCTCACGACGACGATTCAGCTGAACCAGCTGTTCTTCAAGCCGACCATTCTCCGTTTTCAGTTGGTGCAAGCATGATAACAGTTGAGCTACATCAAACTGCGCTTGTGAAATTAAAAATTGTGAGCCCTGTTCCCATTGCCGTTCCAATAACTGCTCCATTGATGATGGCAGCGATGAGTTCGTACCTCCTTGAGGACGTGTAGCCGCTGAGAGCGGACTTGCTCCAACTAGATTTGACGCTCCACAGGTAGTTTGTGCTAAAAGTTGGATGTTTAACGAGTTTCATGGCGAGTGAGATCATTTCCTAATTGTTCTAAAACAAAAAAAAACTGCTAATTGGCTGGTTATATCCAATTCCATTTAGTCACTGCGAAGAATAGAACTTTCAGCACAATATTTTATTAAAGAGTTAAAGTTTTAATGAAACCTTCAGATGAAAAAGTTGAACACATTTTTAAAAAGTCAAGGAATTATTCTCAACCAAAAAAACTAAATGGATGCACTAATAGGCATAATTGTAAAAATACATACCACTAACTATTGGCGCTTGCGTGACTGAAGGAACATCGTGTGAAGTGGATGGAATTGCGTTCGTTGTAACCATACGGCGATCGCAGGTTAAAGAACGATCAGCAATTCTTTCTCGATGAAAATCAGACACAGTCTCAGAGACGATTGGACCAACGAGATCTCGCAACGCCTTTTCGCTCTTCGTCCGATGGTTTGGTCGAGGACGTTTTGCCTTTTCCGTGAGTTCAGCCTTTGTATCACGGCTTCTTTTAACTAGAAAAAATGAGAAAAACTAAGAGCAACACATTTGTCGGGGTAAAGTACATTGTGAACGTTGCTAATTTGCTTGTACTACACACTGGATTCGTTTTACGTTCTACAACTATTCGCTGATGTCAAAGTACACGAATTAGGTTTTCATTTCCAATTTAAATCGGAAAGATAACGTGGAAACACTAACTTGTAGACATCTTGGCACCAGTGGCAGTAAGAGCACCAGATGAAACAGCAAATGAATCGGCGACGACTTTCTCATCATGGTGGCCATTGGTATCCGACACAAACCCGGCTGTCACACCTAACCTATTGTGATTCGTCAACTCCGCGGCCTAAAAAACCACTTTAAGTGAGGATCAAGCTAACGATACGATCAAAAGCAATCGCAAAGGCACTAATTTTATACATTAATAGGACACCTGAACAACGGCTGCATTAACCAAAGCGTTGAAATTGTTCGTCTGAGGCCCGTTTAGTGTGTGTTCTTGTTTAACGACCAGAACAGCACCACCGCCACTGGACAGCGGCGGCGTGGCATCCAAGGCGACCGAGGACCTGCTTGAGGTCGTCAATGGCGGTGAGAAGTTATTGATTAAATGCGAATCTTCAGATTGCGCTAGACCGATAACCGCGCCCACTCGCTCAGACCTAAGAAGGGAAAACGAATACTTGCAAAGAATCGGTGTGACAACCTTGTAAACACAGCTGCTATATTTTCACCTAAAAGAGTTTAGTATCTTTCAAATTCAAAGCTGTGAGACCCTCCACCCACTATCATTAATTCACTAGCAAATTTAGACCTTGGTCATATCAAATACTTTGGCCAATCATTGCATGCAATAGTACTACGATCAGAAGCTATGACCTCAAGATGGGAAGGCAATAATTTGCGCTATGTGTCAACTCTGTTTAGCTCCACTTGTCAAATGTTGTTCAAAATAGCAAAAACGGCACTATTGCTGAAAATCCGAATATCTGATGTAATCAAACGAGAAATGTAAGACGAGCATTAAATAAACAGCGAAAACTATTGTAAAGTGCATTAGCTGGGAAAACAAATAAAACAGAGAATATAATTTGAACCCTCTTAAACACGACCTCGGAAAAGGATCGACGAGCATGTGCCCACTATTGTTGCTGTTCGGTGGAGTCGGAGCGTATGGCACTGAGCTCTGAGACGACGACGGGTGTGCCCTAATTCGGCAAGGAGGTATCACTTTTATGGCAGGATCGGCAGTCTAAACATCACAGCGTTTTGAGAAACCAAATCACGTAGCCCGTAGCCACCTCAATCAATGTGCACACTGGTCACAAAACTATCAAGAACAACTATAAAACGGAAACAACAGAACGAAACAGCTTTAGAAAAACGGTGACAAAAGTGAATGACAGGATTTCAGAAAGAAACAAAAATGAACGCGCGTGGACACTTTTCTGCTGCATTTCGCCCTCTTACACAATATAAACGAAAAAATAGTAATAGACTTAGCTTCATACCTCCAATAAAATCAAATCGGTAAGTTGTCTGGGCAATATACGCCCATAGTGTAATAGATAGAGCAATTAGGAGCAGACAAATATTTAGAGCTGGTCTATCACTTTGATTTACTAGCGATTTATGTCGTTACATCGTCCTCGACTAATAGTACGAATTCCTCCCGCCCTGTAAGAATTCCAGGGCCACATTTCCTAAAGCCTATTTCTAGAACAGACAAAGGAAGGCTAGTAGTTAAGACCTAGTAGGCACGCCCAAGTACTACAATCCCAGCGTTTCAAGGGATACCATGCTCACTATTCATTCAACTTTTTAATGAACACCATGACATATCCGAACAACATAACATATGAACAAACTTCATTCACTTGTTGAAGAACACAATGCCCGAGCCAAATCTACAGCGAACCCATTAACCAAATATAGCATACTAAGTTTCTTGCACTGTCCACCTCAATTCAACCAAGTGCGACTACGAAGACATATATTGAAGATGATTTCTGTGGACACTCAGCTCTAAACATTGCGGTTCTAAAGAGGCCGATGATGCCGAAAAGTTCGCCGGAATAACGGGTTCTTTGCTAAATTCAGGGAATATCATCAAGAACTCAGCATTCTGATCTCTCATGCTGACCCCCTCTTCGCTTTCAGGTAAAAATTAGTTTCTAAAAACATGAAATCATTATGAATTAACTTCCATAGATGCTGCAGGAATGGTTTTTAAAGTTGAAGGAAACCACATAAGAGCAATTACACCAAATCAACATTGATTTCAACTAAATCGACCAAAATTTCCCATAAGGGTTAAGCAGCTACCATCAACATGTTTTCCTGCACTACACCAGTTCTAAAATACGACTCAACACCCCTAATTCTACTGAAGACCTCCGCTACATACAAGAGTAAATCCATAGTAGATGGTGCTTAGTCAGATGCCGTCACTATCATAGGCTGGCTAAGTCTCCAGTGATATCTCAAAAGAATCGGCCAATTTGCATGGACATTAATAAGGTGGCATACCTTGAATATTTACGCTTCCCCGCCCGTCTACACACTTCTCCCTTCGCACAGTAACATGGTGTGGAAGTTGGATTTTATATGTGAATTACATGTGCTAATTTGCAATGATTGAATTTTTGAGAATTGTCAGAGCCAAAGAGTGTTACAATGAGATACACGAAAAGCAGGTCCTGATGGTAGAACACTGGCAGTACTCTTCGTGGCAGGCTTTCTGCGGACAGAACTACAACGACTGCAGATCCTTGGACGGCTTAATATCAGAATTAGAAACACAAGAAAAAGAAACACAACGAAACTCCGAAACACAGACATGCTTCCCGCCCAGACCACTGTCCATACACTGACTGCTAGGTCATCCTACGATTACAGTGGTAAGTCAGAAACTAAACCCTGAAGCCATCAGGCAGGCTCCTTGCCACCCTAGTTCTGCATACAGCAGAAATTGAAACTATCGTGTAACTTCCCATAGCAACCATTTTAGCCACATTATCTCAAAAGCTACAGATCCTGCTGGCTAAAATCCAGTCACAGTTCACAGCATGGTTACTCAAAATTTTTTGAAGCATAACACTGACTAATAACAGTCGTACTCTTTCCAACCACAATGTAAATTATGGGATGACATATCTAGTACGTACAGATGTCACGCTGTGTACCCTCACTGGCAGAGATTGAACGCTCATCGTGCACATATCTACGACTTCACTACCGATCGTTGGCAACGTCAACTGGCACAGAAACTGCGTCTTTGCAACTTTCAAGGTGACTGCACGACAGTGTGAACAATGGTCGACAGCAAGCAGGAAGATTGGACGCAAACCGGACCCCAAGCCTTTCTCGACTTTTTTGCATTTAAACAGTATAAAACAACAGAAAACTATTCAAAAAAAAGTAGACCCAAAACTCATTATCTTCTAGCCGGAAATCCCAGCAAGGACGATCAAACACAACTAGAAGAACGATCCAACAAATAGCACCTCGTGTTTGCCGAACAGAAGTAGAAAGAATTAGCCAATCAATGCCGAAGTTAATAGAAAGTCGAACTTGGGAGTTACAACTAGAAGGTCCTTAGCAGATTTCAATCTAAAGGATGAAACTACTTAAGGAAACAGAAGAAGAAATGAATTAGTGTAGCCAAGCGAAGCCGTATCCAGTCCGACAATGCGCCGATAGAGCGTAAATTTCGCGTTGCTATACCGTTGCTGCTCGTCGTAACCACACAAACATACACACGAGCAACACACCGCCACCGACTCTCGCCAATCAATCAATCGATCGATCAACCAACAAACTGATGCGTCACACGCGGGTAACAGGCCACCACCACCGACGCTCATCAATTAATCGATCGATCGGCCAACAGACTAGTGCGTCACACACGAGCTACATGCCACCACTACCGACAGCAGCCAGTCAATCGATCGATCGACCGACCGATCAACAGACTAATGCGCTATTCATTGTGTTTGCGGTGTAACACGAACACGAGCGTACACACTCGTAGTGCCCACAAAAGCACGACTTTCTTGGAACAAATTGAGGTAGCACCGTGCTGTCAACATTACGTACCACATCGCATTGGACTTCGACCAAATGCCGCTGTCCGCTACACAACCCGGCGAAAGCACGTGCTCCACTCACCACTACTGAGACGTGCACATGGTTCTATGAGCACCTTCCACCAATTCAACAAGTCATTCGGCTACTTTCTCTGCTAATAGCTCATTGCAAAAAGTCTACGGTTGACGAAATTGTTACAGGATCTCCCTCCACCAAACATATTCCCACACACTCACACACACAAACAAACAAACAAACAAACGAGCAAACAGACACGTTACTTAACGGATTAACCGGCGTTTTTATGGCAACGTAGACTTATCGTATTCATATAAAACATGACTATCTGGCAAATATACATCACGCGATAATCACACATCAAACTAATGTAGCAAACGAGAACGGTACTTTAGCCTAGGGGTCCAGATAGGCCTAACAAGCTCGACCTTGCTTTACGGGATGATCAGGGAAATGTTCGCATTCCAATTCCGACTACGTTACTTCCCAAACCAAAACATTAATATTCTAGTGTGTTGTGAACAATGACAGGAATCACGCGTAACCTCTACGATGGACCAACAGAAACAGATGACAAGAGCTTGTTAAGATAAAGCCTTGCCCATATATACATTTACATAGATATAGATATAAACGTATACATGTGTGTATGCATCCAAGTGAAGATCATGAAGTAACAGAGTACAAGGAGTCGAAAGCGCCACAGTTTAAGATTTCACACCATTCATCATCAACGATCATGACCGAAATAATGCGCGTGACAACATACTAGTATAAACTCGAAGTACATCATACAGTAATGCATTACCAGAACTGATATTGACAAGAACGAGATTCGTTTATGCTGGAGCAGTGTAAACCGAGCGCGAACAACACCGTAGTACAATCGATGCGCTCACCCCGACGGAGGCCCGCCGACGGCGCCGTCGCGGAAGGCGTGTGGGCGGCGGCGACGCGCGGACGCCGCGGCCGCGCCATCGATCCCCGTCACCGCCGCAGCCCGATCGACCCGTCCTCCGCCAGCCGCCCGACGACATGTGGGAACATTTTGCTCGGACCGACCCCCAGCTGCTGGCGTGACTGCAGTGAGGACCTCGGGGATAAGATTATTTAGTGAAGTGGTGGTATTCATCAGTCACTTCAGACTTTCATGAGTACACAAGGCAAAACAACTGTAACTTCGTAGAAGCTCCCGGAATTCATCAGTCCCTGAGGGTTCGCCATGCTTCCGAGTTTATCTGCTATCGTTAGCGATGGTAGAATTCATATGTGAACTATACAATGACTTGCGGTGGCCCACCACTGTATCAAATTAGTGCGGTTATCCTCCCAGACAAATCTAGTAACAAATCGCTGACACTGGAGGAATAGGTTTGGTGAGCCCGAGACGTGGGATCAAACCGAATACCGCGAGTTTATTGAACGACACCTATAACCACTGCGTTACATCCGCTTTTGTGCTAGCAACTAATATCTTCAAGTGATATACATTTTGTTGATGATTAACCTTAACACAAACTAGGAACCATTAATGTCAACAATTTCTCCGGATATTCGACATCCCAATCCTCATTGCTACAGAAAAGAGGTCATGAAAAATGTTATTCCTTGACTACAGCATAGTGAATTTGCATCCTTTCGTTTATTTATGTAACTCTAAGTAACTTGGAATAACATCAATCCAGACCTCTGCAGGAAAACCATGAAATTGCAAGCTGTCTTTTCGATCTGGCACTAGGTTTCAGGCAATCTCCAGGTCTATATGGTGTTACAAGGTTAACGTAGTCAGAATGCTTCAAACCGCGATTTATTGACTAGTTTTCATAAAACGTAAATCGTCTGTTCTATGCCAATTGGCGACACCACACGTTCTAGCCAACCGCCAGCACTTTATCGTCTGGGACTAGTTCAGCTACGAAGAAATTCTGTCGAAATGGCTACACTACTCTGTGAGTGACACTAGTAAGACGCCGAGTGTCAATATCTACACTTCTGCTCCCTTCCATGTCAACAAGAGTTTTTGATCGATAGCGTAACCGCAACGAGTCGGCTGCTGTATGTGAATACACACACGCAAACGCTAGTGGTTGTTGAAGGAGATTCTTTATCATGGTCTTTTCACGAGCAGTACCACTGCTTTCGCAGACTTGTGCTACATTCGACGTCAGACGCTGGCCGATGTGGGTAGATTGAAAACGTGACAAACGTTAAAAAGTCGGACTCCTCCAACACAATGGTCTTCGTATGTTGCGATATAAAGCGTGCATCGATCGCGGTTGGATGAGTACTCCTAACGCACCATGTGCTCTTCACACCCCAAGTACTACCATTTCTTACAACTTCGGTAGCACCTACAAGAGAAAAGAAAATCTATGAGCTCAAAAAATAACACAAACCGGAAGACTAATTGTACTTTCCGTTGTTTTTGCTATATTTTACGACCACTGAGTTTCCGGTTCCTAACAGTACTAAACGGCGCGGGTGGGGCATTGGTCAGAGCCGCCCTGCGGTGCAAACATAGGATTGATCCCCATGCCCCTGACCCACCAAGCCTTCCATCATTCCGGGTTCGGAAAATTGGTTTCAGACTTGTCTGGGAAGAAAGCAGCACTTGCTCGATACATCGGTAGAACACCGCGAGTCATTCTAAAGATCAGATATGCATTCAATCACCTCGAACGATACTTAATGAAGTCCAATGCATGGCAAATTCCTCAGGGATTGATCAATGCCGACAACTTTATCTTTTCTAAAAGTACTATGCGTTCTTCACCAAAAATCCAAGAACTATCTAGCAGCATCTCAAATAGGATAAATCGATCAGCGCAAGAAGCTAGGCAGATCTTCCAAGTGACGATTCCCTAACGGAAATAAATTGTGTGTAAAACTGATATCGAATTCTACAGCATTAGCGATCAAGAAGTATGGAAAATTATACAACATCAAAAACAAAAAGCACGAACACTTTGATTCCTGTGAATAAGAATGACGTTGCAAATCTGGACAAAGGGAACGAAAGGCGGAATACAAGCGAAAGAAATGACTCACCGCCTTTCGGAGATGATGTTCACAGTAACCACAGTACTTCACATTCTTGCTACCGCCACCTTCTTCACACAACAAACCACGCTGCTGAGCACAGGTTACATGAAATCCCCTCTAGAATTCGTACGCAATAGAGAAGGTAAGTATGGTCACCTCTCGCAATCGATTTAAGACAGGATTTCATTCACCTTGCAACCTGGTTTATTGCACGACATGCACGCTCCCATTTGAGCAGCTCTCGAGTCACCAGCATTAGCACAGATGTAACACAACTTCTCGAACCTCAAAACCATCCTTCATGAACGCAATAGAGCTAACAGATAAAACTGTTACAGTGAAAAGGAGAATGAAAGAAAGAACAAACCGTTCTGCGGGTACATCTGATAAGATCACAGGGTCCATGCTGTGTACATCACCAAAGCGCACTTCAGGAATATACAAAGCGCAAATTACATGGGCCCAACCTGTAACGAAACAAAGAAGACCTTCAGAAACCAATATTTAATTCCAGCGGTGGATTTTCTTTTTTCATAAAGATACAGAAAGACAACATACCCTTTTGTTCGGTTCGTTTTAGTGCACCATAGCCAAATGGACACAGCTCACACCGTGCTTTAATAGCATGACCCACACCATTGGTGGAGGTTCCATTATGACTAAGTCCATCATTAGAGTAACTTGTACTAGAAACATGGCACTTGGCACACAACCATTCTCCTTCTGGCACCTCTTGGATACCATAACAACCTACAAGTAACCTTTTACTCAACATAAATCGGTTCGGTTAAACTACCACATTACAAAACGTTTCGAGGTTAGTAGCACATCCCAAAACTTCCCAGCTTGAGTAGACTAATTTTTCCACTTGTATGGTACAAATATCCATATGAAATGCTCATTTGGAGCCATATACGTGAGATTAGAAAGTCGGCACGAAGCTCAGTGTCAAGAAACAATCAAAAACATGAACTAGTAGGAAATACCTTGGTGCACAGCTACTTCACATCCAGGTCCATCGCAATAAATGAGCGGATTGTCCGTCCAGCCGTTCTCATCCGCACACACACAACAACCGCCGAGCATCTCCTTCATCGCGAACTCTGCAACGAAACTCCCACTAAAATTCAAGAAGAAAGATACGAACTCGGCAACAAGAAACTTGCAGTACCGCTATTCGATTGTGAAGAAACGTCAGATCACTGAAGAAACCAGATATGAACGACAACTTCACCGATTCACGGTAGACCATCACTTACGAACGGACCGCTAAAAGTGCATAAGGCAATTCGAACGATGCACGCTTTTTCTTGAACGCGATCTGCAAGTGCATAGAATCATTGTTGACACTACGTATATAGCACCGCCACTCATAAGTGAACAAATTGCAAAGAATAGAGAACCACAGTTCCCATTACTCTACGGACTTCGATAATTGTTCTGTGAAGCAGACAGAAATGGAGACGAGAGCCCCAGAGAATCAATATTTCCCAAAAGCACACAGTAGACTGATTGAGACTTTATCACTAGTTTAACAAATGAACTTCGGTCTCAATGATGAAAATCCTACAGGGAACTAATTCCAGAGTTCCAGCTGTGGACTGCCATTTTGAGAAGAACAGCGACTACGAATGGCAAAGGATAGCCAGAATTCAACCGAGAAATTTTTTCAATTAGTTTGACTACCGAGATAGTGGACAAACACATACACACTCCAGCTCGAACTGCCCATTTCTCTTTCCTGGCGACACGACCGCAAATGAAGTCTAGTTTTTCACCAATCAATAACCGATATTTGACGTGATGATAAGACGATAACATGATCCCATCGTACGGTATTGTCTAATTAAATAAACGAGAAGAAATAAAGATGTATTCGACTCGAAAAGGCTTTGGAGAGTTCGAGATAGTTCGAAAGGAAAACCTTCCAAGGATTCGGAATAGCATCCGAAGCAGACAGAACACATTCGGAATAGGCAAAGACACCCCAATATTCCTAACAAAGCAAAGACTAAAATCGCTGTTCTTCTGATAATGTCAAAATTATGTAAGAAGGAAAAATAAAGCATAAGTGAGACATACGGCGGCGAATTGCTACTGACCAGAAATCAAACCGCAACAGTGCACTCGTCCAGATCTAGCAGCTTCTGTATAGTAACTGAACTGGCTACTTCTTCACGATTTCCTTAAGGAAAACAGATTCTGCTGAGCAAATGGTAAAAGCATGGATCTGCTAACATGAGAAGCGTAGTCGGCAATATGGCGGAGATCTGTGAGCGGATCGTCTGACAAAAATCAAAATGGTATGAAGAAGAGTAAGTGAACAACACAGCAAATAGAACGTGTTCAAACCCTGGCACACAAAAGGTATTTCCGCTGTAAGAACAGCAAGCACAGGCATAGTAGTACTAAGGAACAAAGCTCTAATACGAACGTCTGCGCGTGCACTATGGACAAGAGATCAAACATTCATAATAGCGACAAATACTGAATAAGTTGACGCCCGTCTTGAGCTCGTTCTCGCTACCTAGCCCCTGAAGACTACGACCTTCTTCAGTGTCGAAGTAGTCGAGATCACACTTTTCAACTAACAGCCAAGTTTCCTTTCTAATATATCTATCGAACCATCGTCCAAAGTGTCACGAAATTGTTAAGAGCATGTTGTGGAGAATACACTGTTCACATTAACGTGTCGATAAGGTACTGAGATATTGAGAAGAAAGGACCGTCCACACAGACGCCGACGTCAGTGTGAAGGAGAACGACGAGATATGCAAGTATTGAGCGTGGATCCCGTCGTTGACGAAACGGATCGATGTGGCGGCGGCCGCGACGGAGTGGGTGGCCGCCCGGTCGCGACCCCAATGCAAACGCTCACACAAGGTCGGTACTACTGCACAGACCGTGACCACACATAGCCCAACAACACCACACATCGCCAGATCTTCGCCCAGACACTTAGTGCTGTACTTTCGACATCAAAGCAGTACAAAAAACTGACAAGCAGAGACGAGATATTCTAGTGACGCACTCCAAGGTCATCCAAAATGACACAACAAAAAATTGGTTGTTGGTCAATGTCAAGTTGCAAACGCTTATCACACTCTGCAAAGATTTCGTAACAGTCCTTGAGGGAGGTCGGTCTACAATACGATGAGTTGTTCCAGGCATCAAGACACTAGTTAGAGTTTGATTACACTGATTGTCGGTGTGTGTTAGAAGCAAAACTGGAGCTTTGCAAAGATTCGTACATACGATATGACCAGTCACGTAAGAATAGAATTTCTCATAAACATCATAGTGGTGGATGTTTCAGCCATTACAGTGGCGCTTAAACCTAAGCTTCTCAAACCTTTCGCAAACAACAAGATATTACTCCACCTTTCTGAAATCCTTCAGTGAGCCAACAGCTATGTGGAGTGACAAGTGCGTGATGCAGTTCCATACTCTGATGAATCCTCCTCACGGATCTTGCTGAGCTCATCGCTTCCTGCTTTGATGTTGTCCTGCAGCCGTTCCACGGAGGTAGTCAGCATCGTGAGTGGTGTCGGCTGCCACTTGTAGCTCTCCTATTATTTTCTGCCGTTAATCTGTTTAATGCTGCTCTTGCGTGTTTTTTCTTGTAAATCCTGGTAGTCGAACATCCTGCTATCAGTTGAAAAACAGCTCGAGAGTGGCCTAACAAGCAAAAGTCAATGGCACAGCACTATGGAGAAGACAATATGTATGCATCTGGGCTTCGTCGTTATTCTGAGGATCTGACGAACCCTAGTTTGATATTTTGGCATCGATCAGAAGCGAATTTCAGTTCAATGGTCCTTCGAAGCACTAGTAGCTACCTACCGTCCCAAGTCTCCATAACCCATGGGGAAAAACAACTTGAAAACCTCTTAACACTATAAAAGGACTTGAACAACTATTGTGTGATAATCAGACATATCAGAAGAAAAACGGCCTAGTCGAAAACCTCGACTTAACACTGAAATGAGTGCGAAAGCTATCAGTGACAGTGAAGCATCCAAGACAGGATACCATCACACAAGCGAAAGAGCTCTATCCCCGAGAAAGACGGTAGAGTTCATGTCGACGAGCGCGTATTTACATCGATCGCATCCACAGCAATCGATATTCAGGTGAACGGGTTCTGGGAAGACACAAGGGAGCGATTGGCAGGCACAAATATAGAAGTATAAGTAAATCGGATCACTCAAATACTGTTTAAAATTGTACCGCTGTAAGGTGAATGTGTTTTAAGAAAATATAAAATAAATGCATATATACACATACACATATGTACATATAAAGGATAAATGATAAAGCTCTCGGCGTTGATCAATCCCTGAGGGATGCGCCATGCATTCAACTTCATTAAGCATCGTTGGAGGTGATTAAATGCATATCTGGCCTTTACAATGACTCGCGGTGGCCTACCGATATGTCGAGCCAGTGCTGCTATCCTCCCAGACAAGTTTGGTACCAATTTGCCGACCTATGGAAGGCTTGGTGGGCCGTGGGCGCGGGGATCGATTCCACGTGTGTCGCAGTGGCGCCTCCAACCACTGCGCCACAGGTGCCCTTATGTACATATATGTTTATATATATATATATATTAATCTTATAGACATACATGTCTGTACAAACAGTGTATCGAAGTGTTTATGGGTGCCAAAATGCGATGTACAACCCGAGATCCATTCCCCCACCATGGTCATCCAAACAGAAAAAATACATTTTCATCCGGAAGCCGAGCTATCGTAAACATATGACACTGAGGAGCATGGTAAACTACACATGACTACCTTAACGAAAAACAGCGAAAATAGAATGCCTCGTACAAAGATCAGAACCCAGTGCTTGATGTGACAGGTATTAATGGGAGGTGTGTATGTATATATATATATATATATATATATATATATATATATGTATATATATATACATACACACCCATTATATATATATATAATGGGTATGTATATATATACATATATATACATGTGTGCATATTTATATATGTAGGTATATATATATGCCGTATATATATATATATGTATATACGAATATATGGATTCATGTATATGCTCTCAGAACCTGTGTCACATGATGTGCGTAGGAAAATCGATAGTGGTGGCAGCCAGCCAAAGCGTGCAGAAATGGGCGGGGCGAATAGAACTTGAGACAGCAAATGGGGCGCCCGGACGCAGACACACAACACGGAGAATCATGACGTCACCTGAATGGAAACGATCGGGATTCCGGCGGCTGGTGGAAATGCGGCGCACCTGTCGACGACCACCCCTTTCATGTGGGGACGTTTCTGTGGTAGAACTGCAGAAATCGGCTAAAAAGAACAACTGCCTGCATAGATACACGGGTTTTTGTGATACGATACCAATATTCGTCTTCTTATCGAAACTCTTCTATGAAGAAGAAGAGAACCAGCACCTCAATCTGATTTCCTTTTTTGACTATAATCATATTTAATGAGATGTAAAAATACATCCACGGCTTCCTTCCCTATGATGAACCTCCCAACGGCCAGGCTACGTGGCCTTCTCCCTTTATCACTAACAGAGATTAAGTGCATAAATGCTCTTTGACGCGATTCCATTTAAAAAGCGAACTTCCTGTCTCCATTGGACTTAATTGATCTACACCTTCCGTATCTAAGCAGTAATAGTATTGCTCTCCGAGTTTATGCCCCTCCCCTTGTGTCGATACTCAAAAACCCTGTAGTTAAATAATTGTGATGTACATTACAGGTGATTCGGTGTCGTCCCCAACAATAAGCTACCTCGGCAGACAGAAACGACCTACACCTGCGCACTTTTCGCTATGAAGAGTACAAATAAAAGGGGCCATATGAGAGGTGTTGCTGTTCGTGCTACTAGAGCGGACTCAGGTCTCTCTCAACAGCGCTGGTATGCGAAAGGGTTATATGAAAGTTTAGCTCCCAGACTCAGTAGATGGATTCATTTGACATGACCACAGAGGGTGAAGGTGATAAGCAAGGCACCATACACGAATAATCTCTTGTCTGTTATGCAAATAGAGTGGTGATGCTGATGAAAAACTGATCTCTGAGATGTTTGTTATATATTCACTAAATGAAATGAAAGCGGTAGATTCCTTGAACTAAATGGAAGAAAAGTGAAATAGTGTAATTTCAGCTAATCTTGTAAGGGTATATCATGTGGTATGGGAGTCAGAAGAAATTTGAGAAAATGTATGCAGATGAGATATCAGCAGTTGGAGAGGGACTGGGAAGTAGAGGCGATAACCACGGCAGCCGCAGCCACTAACAGCGTTAGGGCCAGAAAATCGATGGGGAAGTGCATCTGGGTGATTGGCTGGCTGGCTGGCTGCTTGGCTGGGTGGGTGGTTGGCTGTCGGGTTGTGTGAGGAGCGCTGACAACGCCGAGAAGTCCTTCACCCAGAACTTGGGACGCTGTTGCAGATCTGCTGGTAACGGGCCACAACCCATCTGGGAAGTGGAGGTATGTTACGTGGAAACAACGAGATCTCATCCACTTCCCGCTGCCCTATGATCTATGCTGATAAGATCAACCTCCGCGAATTGATTATCAGCAGCTGTTTAGTTTGCCTCAAATGTGCGACACATGTGCCTCGTTCTTCAAGAGCTGTTGAAGACCGTGGCAAGAACGTCTCGTCTCACAACATCATGCATGATGGTACTTTCTTCATGAGATGAGAGAGAAGCATAGAAATATCAGAAATTTTAATTTTATTGCTGTTTTGCTCCCAACTGCACATGCTATGTCCTGACAGTTCACATGGATGTTCCCCGTCTAGGTACGATTGAAGCTGAACGATTCAGAATTGTAGTGTTTGTTTTTCATTACAAGAGCCGCTGATTCGTCTTGTACAAAGCAAGATATGATATGGTTATAGTAATGAGTGTTAAATCCAGATTCTTCACCCATGCATTCGTGGAAAGCAGAACTTTAATTAAATGCATTTAACTGTCAAAGGAGGAACGCTTCCTTCACATCTGGTATGCAATTATTTGCTATGTGACCCATCTATATTCCGTACGAGAAAGACACCATGAAGTCCATTTTCCAGGCATGCTTTCACCCAATTTGTTGCTGGTTTTACTTAATTCCTTATTATGTTCTAACGCTTGAAATTTAACGCATGATTCGAATGGTCGCTGGCAACCATGTGAATCATATGTGACTCATGTGGTCCGAAAATGGAGCGATACCTTCAACTTCGAACCAGCATATATCATATGCATTCTTTCATTGATAAGTTTACATGAGGATGATAAAGAATTTTATCTGGCTGATGTTTCGACGTCTTAGTCCTCCTTAGAGCCGATGATCACAGTCGATTTCCTGAGTCCTTCGTACTCTCGATGTGGATTTTTTCGTTGTC